TAGAAGCCTTTTCTTCTTTCTTTTTTTTTTTTTTTAAAGATTTTTATTTATTTATTTATTTGACAGATATAGTGAGAGAGACAGATATAGGGAGAAGCAGGCTTCCTGCGGAGCAGGGAGCCCAATGTGGGGCTTGATCCCAGGACCCTGGGACCATGACCTGAGCCGAAGGCAGAGGCTTAACGACTGAGCCACCCAGGCGCCCCTCTTTTTTTTTTAATCGTAAAAACAAACAAACAACAAACACCTGAGATGTGAGCCAGGAAGAGAGAAGGGATTTAGAAATGTGCATATCCCACTAGGTTTTTGCTGTGTTCCCCCATGGAATAGTACTGGGTAGAGTTAATACTGTTCAAAGTGGTATGTTGGGGAAGGGTATTGGAGAAGCTCTGTGATGCATGGAGTTTAAATTAGAGCTAGTTATATTATTCATCACAGGTTACCCTCAGGGGTGCCTGGGTGGCTCAGTCAGTGCGGTGTCTACTTTCAGCTCAGGTCATGATCCCAGTGTCCTGGAATTGAGCCCCACGTTGGGCTTCCTGCTCAGCAGGGGAGTGTGATTCTCTCTCTGCCCCTCCCCTCTGCTCATTCTCTTTCTCTGCCCCTCCCCCCCCATGCTCACTCTCTTTCTCAAATAAAAAATTTTTTAAAATGTTACCCTCAAAAAAAAAAAGGTGTTTTTCTCATTTTTTTTCTTGTCTTATTGCACTGGCTAGACTAAGGTACTAAGTTGAATAGAAGCACCCATGGCCATTTTCCTGGTCTTGTTCCTGACTTTAGTGTGCTGTTCCCAGTATTTTATCATTAAGGTTCTGTAGGTTCCCTGTAGTGACCTTTTATCAAGGTAGAGACCTCATTGTGTCTCCTGTTTATCCTGCAGAGGGAGGCCAAGTACTGGCCATTACACTGGCCATGCACAGAGCTCGCTCTCCCAGTCGATGGAAGGTCCATGTGTCCTTCAGTTGCTGCACTAGATTGACTCCTTGAATAGCCTTTGAACCCTAGCCCTTCTCTGCCTCCCTGTAGTTTCTGGGTATGACAGCCTTAATTGAAGACTGGGTTTTACCAGAAGACAATGGGTCTATGCAGAAAAGAATACAAAGTCAAGGAACAAGATTTTTTAATTTTTCAAAAAAGATTTTTTTTATTTGAGAGAGAGAGAGAGCACAAGGAGGGGGAGCAGGAGAGGGAGAAGCAGGCTCCCCACTGAGCAGGGAGCCTGATGCCAGATGCTGGGGCTTGATCCCAGAACCTTGGGATCATGACCTGAGCCGAAGGCAGACGCTTAACTGACTGAGCCACCCAGGCGCCCCAAGGAACAAGATTTTTTACATCTCAACTAACTCGGTCTTAGCTCTGACACTTACTTGCTGGGTGTCATTGGATGAATCACTTAGACTCTTTAAGCCTCAGTTTCATCTACTGTGAAATGGGGAAAACAATGCCTGCTGCATAGGGTGCCTGGGTGGCTCAGTGAGTCAAGTGGCTGACTCTTGATTTCAGCTCAGGGTCATGGGATTGAGCCCTGCATCAGGCTCTGTGCTCAGCGGGGAGACTGCTTGAAGATTCTCTCTCTCCCTCTCCCCCTGCCCTTCCCCTGTCTCTCTCTCTAAAATAAATAAATCTTTAAAAAATAATAATACCTGATGGATAGAATTGCTTTGGAGTCATATAGCTTATGTAAAGCACCAAATGCTTTTCCAGGCCTATAATGGAACTAAATGTCATATCATTGTGAGGCTTCCAATGCCTGAAAGGTACTAGTGACAGCTTCATTCTGTCCAGGCAAGGCCAGCTTCACGGTAGTGTGACCAGTGCCGTTGCACAGAGCCTTGTGCTTACTTTAATACTCTGAAGTATTTGGGAAGTACCCTACCATTGATTTCTTAGGGAATAACCCCCTTAGAGAGTTACCTCTTGTAGAAAAATTGGGATTAGCATCTCGTGTCTGTTTATCTCTGTTCCATTCTGGGGTAATAGATACAGCCTCTTTTAGAAAGGAATTCTTTATATTTTCCATAATTTATTAGGTCCAGAGAAGTTAAGAGGGGGCTGGTGAATTGGAATGATGATTTGGGGTTTTGGATAAGGAAAAGATCTAGGTTCAAAATGCATTCTGGCAGGGCACCTGGGTGGCTCAGTTGTTAGGCGTCTGCCTTTGGCTCACGTCATGGTCCCAGGGTCCTGGGATTGAGCCCCGCATCGGGCTCCCTGCTCAGCAGGAAGCCTTCTTCTCCCTCTCCCACTCCCCCTGCTTGTGTTCTTGCTCTCTCTCTCTTTCTCTGTCAAATAAATAAATAAAATCTTAAAAAAAAAATGCTTTCTGGCCAAATTACTTGGACAAGATAATGTCTCTGTCTCATTGGTAAAATATATGTTGCAGGGGAATTATATTTTCCTTATTGGTAAAATTATATGTCTCAGGGGAACTTAACAGATAAAGTGCCTTTCACAGAATGTCTGGTACATAGTAGGTGCTCAGTCACCATTAATTCTTTCAGCTTGTGCCAGAAGTAGCAAAAATCAGGTCACTAGCTCTTACAAGCCATGCTGCTACTAATAAAAGAAATAATATGATTTATTTTTTCACTACTGTTTGGGGAAAGGCATGTGCTTCATAAATATGTATTGGAAAGTACTTAGCAAATGAGTAGAAATAATAAAAATATGTCAAAGTAAACAGCTCCTATAAATATGTCACTTGGTAGACAAATTAGTGTTTTATTACTACTAAATACTATTGCTTGCCGAAAAGGATTTTAGATTACTTGCACAATGGGTACATTATTGAGTGCCTCTGCAGAAGGGCACGCTAAAGATTAAAAATAGTGATGGTGATAATGCTAAAGGCGGAGAAAGGAGGAGTGTGGGTAAATGCAGCTCTGAGACCTCCTTGCTTCAGTGATATGTACATTATTTAGCAACATTCCCATGATTTAACTGTAATATGGACCAGAGGACCCCGGGAAAAAAATGACTTCCAGAGGATGTCATGAATCTAAACTCCAGTCATTGGGTCCAACCAGTGAATTGAGAGCACTTCCCTTTGGAACTGAGCACTCAGCTTGTAAACTGAGCTTACAAAAACATCTCTGGTCTCACCCCATCCTTGTTCTGGACCTATTAACTTTCTATACTATAATTAACACAAAGAGAAGGAGAGATCAGGTGGAGAATGCTGTGCCTTAATCACAGGTCACAAATCCATTTCAGAAACAAGAGGATGAGCAATGTCCTGACATCTCAAGAGGAAAGGAACCAGATGGGGGAAAACAGGAGACAATAAACGCCTTCATGGGGGGAATAAAGCCCTGGAGAGAAGCAGAGAAGACAGAATTCCATCAAGGAAAGTTACCAAAGTAGCTAGGTAGGAAAAAGATGAGGGGCGGGAGGCCTCTAGAAGGCCAGTATTTCCGTGAGTTACTGGGGGTGGAAAGACCTGGTTTCAAATTTCGGCTTGGCCTTTTTCAAACGGTGTGGCTTTGGGTAAATTACTTAACCTTCAGATCTTCGTTAATAACATGGGAATAATAGTACTCAGTTTGCTGGGTTGTGAAGATTAGAAATACTTGTAGAGTGACAGTCCACATGTATAAATGATAGTGTTTTTACATCATTTTTTCTCATGATAGTCCTTATTTTAAAATATAAATTGCTCAGAACAACTGTGGGAGGTTTCGATAGGAAACTAAAAGCAGAAGAAAATGTCATTAGACATGGTCAGAATAATGATTAGAATGTATATTATTTTCATGACTAGGTATTTTCTTCATCCACACTGGCTAATGATCCCCCATGCAATCCGGTGCTTTACAGTTTACTAAGCACTTCTAAATGCATTAGCTCATTTAATCCTCATGCCACCCTACTTCCTAACAACCATACCAATTGTTTCAGGGATGAGGAAGCTGGAGTTCAGAGGCGTTAAGTACCTGCTAAAAGGTACACGGCTGATGAATGTCCGGGGTGGGCTCCTGAGCACAGTCCTTTTCCTTCAACCAAGGCCTTCTCGGAGCAGTTTCCTCACCCTCCTAAGGTAAAACTAACTAACCTTGGGGGGTTAGACTGGGAAATGCTAGATGAGGGAGGTGCCAGCGACTGAGTGGGAAAAGCATGGGTTTTGATGTCTTACACATCTGGCTTCTAATACCTTCCAGCTACGGGACCTTGAATAAGCTAGTGAACCCTGATGGGCCTGGGTTCCCTCCATTGTAATCTTGGGAACCCTCACCTGCTTATAGCATTGTTGGGAGGAACAATGAAATATTAAAGTGAGGCAACCCGCAAACTCTTACAACGAAACGAGTTCAGGGATGTTAAGGGACTCGCTCAAGGTCACCAAGCTGGACCACCACCTAGCTGAGCCTCGTACGTGGACTCCAGCTCCTCGTGCAAAGTCCGGTGACCAAGGCAACGAGGGGCAGCAGATGCCCTGACACCAGAGAACCGACTCCTCCGCGGCTGGCTGCGGGGCTCAGGTTCAGGCTCGGCCTGCCCCGCCTCCGGCCGCCTCAGCTCCGCCAGGGGGCGCGCGCGGAGGCCACACTCTAGCCCGCCGCGCGCCTCGCCCCTCTCTATGGTGGCTGGGGCACCGCGGGAGCGGAGGCGCGCTCCCGAGAGGGGCGGGGCCGCGCCGGGGGCGGAGCCGCGCAAGGGGCGGGAGCGGCCGGGCAGTGCGGCTGGCGATGGGTGGGGGGGCCACTGACCTGCAGTCGCCCGTGAGGATGTCGCGACCGCCCCCCGGTGCCCCTCAGCCCCGGAGACGCCGCCGCGGCGGAGCCGGGAGCGCCCTTGCCTGAGGCGCCCGCGGCCCGGATCCGGCCCCTCCCCTCCCAGGTGCGGACCGCCGGGCGGGCGCGGCAGGTGAGGAGGCGGCGGCGGCGCTGGGATACGCGAGGTGCCCGGCCTGGGTGGGGTCCTGGGGGAGGTCGGGGTGGGAGTGCGGCTCGACCTCGGGTTCCGCCGGGCTGTGGTCTGGAGGCGCCTACTCTGTGCGGGGGGCGGCCTGGGACTCGCCCTGCCTCGCTGGAAGTCTCCGCATCCGGGGTAGCTCGCACCTGTCCCATTAAAAGTCCCTTCAAAGAAAGCATTTCACCTGTGCGGGCAGTAACCCGAGACGGGTATCTTCAAATTTCTCCAAAGCCTTACAGACCTGCAGGTTCAGTTGGCTTGTGGGGTAAAGATGCCTCTTTACGGCAGAGGAAACTGAGTCAGGTACGCGGCGGCCTGGTGCCCCCTATAAAGGACCTAGCTTGTCTCTGCTTCCTTGTGGAGGAGCCCTTGAGGCTTCTTGGAAGGAGGGGGCTGGAGTTCCGAGGCTTGGTGGAGAAGTTTGGGAATGTGGGCCCCCCACCCCTCCTACCACTTTTCCCTGTAGGGATTTGCCCTCCGTTTATTTGAGGTGATGTGTGAGGTCGCCAGTGGCCAAGACGGAGAAGGGAAGTGGGGCCCCTCTGCAGCGGGCTGCCCCTGAGACATTTGACCAGGCATAGGGAAGTATATGGGTAGACCAGGGGAGTCAGAGCATGGCAGGCATCTGTCTGCTCAGAGCTTGATTTCGAGCTGGCAGAAGATACCAACAAGAGCATATTTTCTCCTTTTTGTTGGTCTGTATTTGTTCTAATGGGAGAAAACTGCTTGTGTAATCAAGGAAGATTGTATCAAGCTCCTCCCAGTCTACCTCAGGGAAGAATTATTGTTAGCTTGGAAATAGGGCTTTACCCACAACCGTCACTTTGCACCTTGGCTAAAGGCCACGGTGACCTAATGAATAATCATCCACAGGTGCATGTGGCCTTCTAAGAATGCAGTAAGTTCCTTATTCATCCCTTTTACAGGTGGTTTGGAGGACAGGGAAGACTTCCAGTCACTCCTGTTGCTACAGCTGTCTGGGGAGCCTTGTGATTTTCCCAGTGACAGTTCGAGTTACTGAAATGTGGCCAAAGCTGTCCATTTTTATTGAGCCATTTTTCTAGGAATGGGAGTAGGCAGGGGACACGGTGCTTTGCTGAGTTCTTATACAGAATTCCAGGGTTGGGAGCTGCAGTGTTACTTCCTTTCTGTCAGGGGATTTTAGGTTTGACAATTTCTTTATCCTTTTTTCCTGATTGCATTCTTTCACATTCAAGGACATAAATGATGGCAGTTATTTCTGAAACATTATGGCATATTTCCTAATAATTCTGGACTTCATAAACCAGTTTATTTAGAGGTGTCATTTTCTAAGTTTGGAAATTGTGTTTAACAATTGCAGATTGATGTGGCAGGGCTATATAATAACTTGATTGTGCTTGGAGAAAATTTCCATGTAATCTAGGACACACACACACACTTAATGTCTATACCTAGTTACAAAGTTAGCCCACTTAAAATTTACAAATTGGTCAGGTAGACAGCGGTTATTCTGACTGTTTACATTGGGATCAAAGGCTTTAAATCCTCCAAATTGACTTAATTTAACCAACTCCTAAAATAATATGCACAGAAAAAGAGCTGTTCTCCGATTAGAAATTAATTTGTTTTTAATCTTTCTCATGGCCAGGCTGGTTGACATAACTGCTTAGCACCATCTAATAGGAATGCATCTTTAAGGCCTCTTAAGATAGCAGTGGAAAAGCATTTTCTTTTTCTTTTTTTGAAAAAGCATTTTCAATTACCAGCATTTAAAAGGATAAAACAGCAACAATATCAAAAAAAGGCACAATTTCTTTCCTCATTACATGTTCACTGTGATGTTTAATATAGCCACACCCATCTGTAAGAGTACTGTGCCTAGGACTTCCTGGAAACACCTACAAAAACTTAAGGAGTGTTAGGGGAATGATTCCACCTTGATTTTTTATTCTTATAATAGAACCATTAACATTGCTATTTTAATGGTAGATTAGAGACTTATATCAGACTTGTATTGGCCATAGTGTTTATGTTTTGGGATGAAAGTTTTAGCCTCTGCACCTTGGAATCTCATCACCCCTGTAATACAGAACTAAGTCATAACTTAGAATTTAATGAGAAACATAATTTAAATTGCTATTGGTGAAGTCTCAAGGGATTAGCTGCTTCATCGTTATTATTGTTTGGTAATGATTACTGGTTATTATTTTTGTTTGGTTACTGGTTATTGGTAGTGGTTACTTGTGTTTAGGTAAGAAAGATTTTGGCAATTAAAAGGACAATCTTTATTACCTTTTTTTTGGTCTTTTTTTTTAATTGAAGTATAGTTGACACACAAGGACAATCTTTTTATATATAAACACGTGAACTCCCATTCCTTCAATAGGGAAATGGTTTGGTCATTTTCTTGTATTGTGACTTTATATTATTAACAGAGTTTTAAATAGGACTTTTAATAGGACATGAAAGCCATCCCAGATAGGAAGGAATTAGGGGCCTCAGCTCTCCCAGTTTCCAGGATTTATTGGTTGCCATGGTCAGGACAGTGGTTTTATCTAATCCTATAATGCCATTCTTAGTTTAAACCTATTATCTTCCTTTCTCTTAATTAAGATGGTCATGAAGTTCCTTTGCTTTCTCTTCTGCAGGTTGAGTGTTCCACATTTTTGATGCATTTGGGCCTGTTAACATTCTGAATTGTAGCTAAACAGTTGGTTGAGAGAATCCTACTGCATGATTTTAAACATTTTCCTTTTTCAAAGCAAGCATAAAATCTTATGTTTCCTCTGGGGGAAAAGCAGCTTTTTAAATCTGATAGTAAAACCGAAGCTGGTTTTTCCAGCTTTGTACCAATTCGAAATCTTAACCTTTCTTTTCTGGTTGTGCCAATACAGTGACTGGTGACCAGTAGTGAATGATGCACCAGAGCTGTTGGGAGATCCTGAAGTCTTCCTGAATCAGCAAAAGGTCACATTGTATTCAGTGCAGCTTTTGGCCTTTTTAGAGTGTTTTATTCCAAGGAGTTCCCAAAAGCCAGGCGTTCCTTGAAAGCTGCAGTTCGCAGCTGAGTCACTAAGGGGTTCTTTAAAGTACGGATTTCCCAGCCCCACCTCCTGGAGATTTGATTGAGTAGAAAAGTGATGACCAAGAATTTACATTTTAAAAACCACTCTGGCCTCTATTTCCAAAAAGCTCCCCAAGTGATTCTGATATACAGCCAGGTTTGGGAGCCACTGCTGCATTGCTTTGAAATTCTTAATAAATGGTTGTCCCTTTAAAAGCATCATTATGTTATCCAGGATGTTTGATTTGCTAGAATAGCCCATTTCCTAGTCATGAAAGATAACAAAGAGCTTTTACAACTTTATGTAAATTACTTTACAGAGAGGCCCCCCTCTGCTGTATTATCTATCAGGAGTCACGAGGGAGGGTTGGTGAAAGTAGCTTCCTTTATTTCCTGAGTGGACAAATGAATGGTAATGTGGAAACAACTGGAGGTTGGACTCGGTAGTTGAATCTAGTTATGATCAGTGTTGGGTAGGAGGGGTGCCTGGGAATTCTCCGCGTGTAGGACTTAAAGCCAACTTGCCAGATGTTTCACTTCTTCATAGCTGAAGCGCTTATGGAAACTAATGGAGGCTTAATAGTCGATACAGCTTAGTCACAGGTCCTTTGCTGAGTTCACGGAAGGAAGAAAAAGTGCTGAAAGTACAGAACCATCCGAGTTAAAACAGAATCGGGCACTCGATATGTTAGGGAATTAAACTTGGGAAAAGCCTAACAGTTTAGGAAATCGACAAACCGGTTATTGAATCCCAGCTCTCCCGCTTCCTGGCCATGCTACCTCAGACCCCTTCCTTAATCTCTGTCAGCTTCATTTTCTTCATCCCCAAGATGAAGATCAAACCTGGTGGGATTGTTAGGTGGATTAAAAGAGAGAAAATATATTCTTTGTACATTGCAGGCAACTCCATGAATGTTCACTTCTCCTACTTTCTGCTAGGATTTTTATTCCGAAGGCTGAAGATGTCTTTCTAAATCTGGCTTTCTCTGTAACTCTTTCCAGGAGTATCTACTCCATCAGCTCCTTCAGAGTCTATCAAAGAGTGAGGACTGAAGTTAGGAACTGGATGATAGGGGATG